TTAAAATTGCTAAGATATTAGGGTGTGATCACAGAACCATCAAACAGTTTGTTGCAAATAGTCAAGAGTATCGCAAGAAACAAGTTGAGAAGAAAAGATGCCCATTAACTGCCAAAGATTTGAGAAGAATCAAACGTGAAGCTACCAGGAACCCATTATCCTCCAGTGCTGTCATATTCCAAAACATATTCTGGAAAGACCAATCAGCGTCCAATATGATATTATGGGAAAACCTTTTCAGAAGATGTTGTGTGCCTCCGGAGGCACATGGCCTTGGAAAAGTCCAAACAATTCCACTCAGTTGATGCAAACCTCCCTTCCAATTCTCAGGGGAATACTTCCCACCTTCTCGACCCCAAATGCCAACGCCTCCTCCCCGTTTCTATGGCAGCCGAGGGCAAGCAAGCTGCAAACCACACTGGAGAGCCAGCTGAAAGTGTCCATATTTCCTTTTCTTTCACTAGAGGATTGGGAGGGGATTTAAGGTTAATAGATCAATGTCAAAATAACTTTTAATCTAAAATGTCTAATATTAATATTTAAGTTGGGGACCATTGATGAACTATAATTGCATTCAAAGACTTCTGCCACATTTAAAACATTAGATTCTGACTGATTAGACACAAAGTTACTATTTCATATGTTAGAATTTTTTGCTAATCATTATATTAATAACTTAATCATTGATAATTCTTATCAACTTCGCTGTTTATGTTGATTTCTGATTTGAAATTAAAATTCTTACAATGCTAAATTGTTATTTTAAAAAAATTATCTGTTCCAATTCATTGTGACCTGCAAAAATTATATAGCTGTTTCTTTTTCTTTTACCATCTTCTAAATTCTAATGTAATTTTTCTGCTTTGTAAATCCTCTATATATCTTTTCTATTTTTTTCCTACAAGTATTCCTTGGGTTATGATGACAATTAGGACAAGAATTTTCATTGCCAATCAATGCCATCATAAAAACATGTTCAGTAAATCTTGCTCAGTCACAGCTACTGGTATGTTGTGAAAAGAACATTCTATCTTAGTTTTATTGTACAAATAGTCCTTGCCCCTACTTTAATCTTTACCAGGGCTCCATAATGGAAGAATGAGAATGAATGTAATGATAATGATGTAAGTATGGAAATTTTTTCATCTTTTCAGTTTTGCTTGCTGAGAAAGTGCATGCATAAAGTACCTACTTAATACCAGTAAATTAAATTGGAAAAATGGAAATTGATTTATTAAACCAGTCTGTCACTTAAATTGTTGTTCATTACTTATTTGGAACATTATCAGTAATTTCTTACCAGCATATGTAGCAGCAGACTGTTGTAAAGACTGAAGCTGTCCACGACTACAGCCGTATTTCTTAGCAACATCCTTTAAAGGAATTTCATTTATTAAATCCAGAAGAGCCAAGCTTGTAAAAAATCTGTATTAATAAAATTAAGATACAATGATATGATTATTTATTTCTGTGAAAGAAAGCAAAGTAAGCAAATAGATATTTGATAAAGAGAAAGAAAAATTGATAAAACGGGAAGAAAAAAGGTAGACAACCGTATCCTAGGTGACTTTTCTATATGGTGAGAAAAAAAAATTATAAAGGTACTGCTAAAATAACTCATAAGTAATAATTGTTTCCTGCTAAACAAGCAGAAATTGCTTGAAATAATAGACAAATTTTGTGGCACTGTTACATATTATACATCAATAAATAAAAAATTCTTATTACCTTTTGTGGATAGCCATTTGCCTATATTGCTTCTCTGTTTTAGCAATGATGTTGCCTTTGATGGAACAGGCCAAAAAACTTTCTTCAATCCCCACAAGTTGTGCTACTCTTCTCAATGAGGCAGGCAGCTTCTCCCACAAGCAAAAGAATTGGTACCAATCTATTTTGGTCCAATCTTCATAAACAGGTGTGACCTACCAAAAATCCAAACTAAGTTAGTTTTCAAATTACAAGATCTTAATTTCTTTAGAGAAATGTTGAGCATTTTTCAGAATAAAAAGAAATGGGTCTTACGTTGACTGAAATTGTGTTTTACTAATATGAGTCCTAATTTAGCTCTAGGATGGTAATATTCATATGAGATTGCCCTTTGTTTTTTAATTCATCCGTCTGCTAGAATATTGGGGTGTGCGTTAGAGAGGGAAGAAAGATTTTTGTACTCCACTTACAGTGAGTGAACACTATGTTTACTGGGAAATGTATCTGCAGCCATGTACTTGATTGAGGCGCTGATCAAAAAATAATCTAGACCTAGAAATTAAATAAATTTGCATACTAGGACAAATAATCTTGCAGAATATCCATGTAGCTGATGCAAGGCCAAGTAGGAATCATGATCTGGAATCATGTTGTGTAAGTGAATCTGAGGAATCTCCAGTGTGCAAATACATAATATTCTTCTGATAAATCCTTAACACCTATATGTTGCCTAGTAAGACGGCTTCCACTTCTGATTTTCGTGTCCTTCTGTACCTTCATCTCAATACTTCAAGGTTCAGGATTACTTTATACTCCCCTGTTCGTCTTTGGAATGGTGAATAGAATGGAGAATTCACTTTATTTCTCTATGCTGCATCTTGACTATCAAACAAAATATGTTTGATACATACATTAAATCTAATCCAGTACTGTCATAAACACACACACACACATTCCTACCAAATAAAGGCTGTGCAGATCATTCTCTAAAACAAAGCTCTTCATTGCTCTCTGGAGATCAGCAAAAATTTCTAGTGCTGCGGTTGGGGAAAAGGAGGAAAACAGTGTAGCAGAGCCAAGATGTGTCGGACGATATATTTCTGCCAAGAGAAAAATGAAGCACTTATATGCAATGCAACCACAGCCTAGTTTTAGAGTCAGAATATTGATTTTGCTGCAACCAATTAATGTTGCTCATCCTTTGAAAGTTGTGTTTAATTGGAAATTGTATGAACGTATTATGTATGTACTTGTGCAAACCAGGAATCTAAGATAATAAGGATCCATGATTAATTACTTTCTGACCTAATAACGACAAAGTGTATACTTTATGATGATTTAATAATAGATCCAGCCACCTTGTATAGAACTACAGTCATTTAGGCAAATCAAGTCCAAACAACAGCTCAGTGCCAAGTCAGAAAATTGGTTTATCTCGCAACATGCTAGCAAGGATATTCTGCCAATAGCTCCAGTTAGAAAAGCGGGCTCTTTCTTCTGTTGCTTTTAAAAGACACCAGCCTGTTTCACAGTAGAAAGCAAACTGTATGATTATTAAAAGGGTAACATTACAGATAGTCCTTGCTTACTGATCATTTGTTCAATGATCCTTCAAAGTTGCAAAGGCACTGAACGTGTAGGGGAAGGAGTGGCAGAACTGGAGGCAGAGTTAAAAGAGAGATCAGTTTAGAATCTCTAGGGACCATAAGCAGTCTAAGTCCAACCTCCCTTGAATTCTGTTGACCTTTATTCTGTTGACCCATGCAGGTGCTAACAATTAGCTGAGAATATTAATGTTCAACTAGAGCCCTGGTGGCGCAGCAGACTAAAGCACTGCTATTAACATCAGCTGCCTGCAATTACTGCAAGTTCAAATCTCACCAGGCTCAAGGTTGACTCAGCCTTCCATCCTTTCTAAGGCAGGTAAAATGAGGACCCGGATTGTGGGGGCAATAAGATGACTTTATATAAATATACAAAAGTATGAAGGCTATTGCTTAACACATTGTAAGCCGCCCTGAGTCTCCGGAGAAGGGCGGCATATAAATCAAATTAAAAATACAAAAACAAAACAAAACTAATGGTTAGCACTTGCTTGAAATTGGCTATATAGGGATTCTTAACTCTGCCCTTCAGGTTCTGCCAACCCTTCTCCAACAGAATGAGTGGTACTTACACAAGTTCTGGCTCTCAAAGTACCCTAATAGTCACAGGAACAAAATTTGGGCTCTTGGTAACCCAGCTAACACTTATGATGGTTGCGGTGTCTGCAGTGTGCACACAGATCATGCACTGTGACTCCTACTCAAGGCCTCCCTGTGTTCACAAAGACTTGCATCCTCCTTTCCTCCACCTCTCTCCACTCATCCACAGCATCCTGTCTTCCAACTTGGGTGTGGCCTGCACAGCGCTCCCCTACCTGCCTGTGCCACCCTTATGCTCTTTATCTGGGACTCCTGCTGCTGCTTCCCAATTAATCACTTGCACATTTTGGGATTACAGTGGCAACCAGGGCTAACAACATGCTTTACAACTGCATTGCTTAGCGATAGCAATTCCAGTCCAAATTGCCATCATAGTCCAAGGACTATCTGTACAGGTAAATAATGTTTTTTTTTCTTTTTGTGGTGCCAATGCAAATATATAAATGGGGGGGGGGGACCAACTGTTTAACAAATAGAGGAGCCACATCATCCAGCAGTTTTATGAGACACACGGCAGCCATGAATACATGACTTCATGCTTCCTCTAGAAGACAATTTTCATAAACTAGAACAGATCAATATGAAAGCCAGTTTGACAGTTTGAGAGCTAGTTTGGTTTAGTGGTTATGGCACCATGCTAGAAAGCAGGAGACTGTGAGTTCTGGTCCCACCTTAGCCATTAAAGCTGGCTGGGTGACTTTGGGTTCAGAGTCACTCTCTCTCTCAGCCCAACCCACCTCACAGGGCTGTTGTTGTGGGGAAAATAATAGGGGAAAGGTGTGTTGATAGTTTGCTGCCTTACAAAAAAATAATAAAATGGGATAAAAATAAATAAAATATTATTAAATACTAAATAAATAAAATAATAAAAAAGTTTTAAAAGTGGGAGAAACAAGAGCTGGTGCAGTGAGATGGAGAACACACAATGAAGGGTTACGTGTTAAAAAGGCAATGCAGAGGGAGCTGCTTTGCCTTGTTTGAAACCTGACCTGGAAGGCAAAGATGCTCTTTCCCTCTCCCTCTACATCACTCTTTTAACACTTAACCCTTCATTGTCTGTTCTCCGGCTCACTGGACCATGCTCCTGTTTCTCCCACTTCCTTTTAAAACTTTTTTCAGAGGAAATATAGAAACTGCAAAGCACAAACTGTGGTTTATTATCCTGTTTTGAGTTAAAGAGGCCATGCAGAAAGGCAGAAGGCAAGGGAAATGCTGCTTTGCTGAGGTCAGTTTGCAAACGGCTGCTCCATGTGGCCAGTGAGAACGGCCCACAATACTGAGTTCTGCAGATCTCCAAAAGGTAAGCAAGGATTGTGAGGGGTGTAACAGGGGGACAAAGCAGGCCCAGTACCTTTGGGAACCCGGCAGGCAAGGATGGGGGGTGGGAAGAGATAGGTGGGTGGGTTTCAGCATCTCTGCAAAGTTATGAAGCTGCCTGGTCATTCCTAAGTGTGAATGAGCAAGATACCTTTTGTAAAATTCTTATCTTCGAATCATGGTGGTACACGGCTTTTGGGAGATCTGTTGTAACTTTGAACAGTCAATAAAAGATCTGTCGTAGCTCGAGGATTATCTGTACAAATGTTTCCTGATCTACATTTTCTTAATTGTAATTAAAAATACTCAATTCATATACAAATTAGCATTGTTACCTTTGCCAACATCTGATACTGAAATCATGATGAATTCCTTCTCAAGCAGCCACTTCACACAAGTCTCAATAGATCCATCACAAATTTTCTCCTGCTCTCTCCTACAATCCTGGAAGTCTCTCAAACTAGCTGCAAGGAGTGTGAAGGATGCATAACTCTGGATGTCTTCTGAAGAGCTAGCTACTCCACTTACTACGATCTATCAGAATAAAAGGGTAATAAACATACTTGAAAAAAATGTAAGTTACTTTTGAAAGTTACCTTTTTAGGTCGGTGCAGATATCAGGAATAGTTTTGTATATTGCATACATTTTAAACACTGACATTTCTTCAAACATGTATAGATCTCTGTAACTGTAAATATTCCCTTAGGAAATATATACAGAAATGTATTGACATTTGAGTTTTTTCATACCTCTCTAATCTTGAAACTGTTGGGCTATGTCTTAACCATGAAATGCCTATGCTATACGTTTTTATAACAATAAGCAATAAACGTAGCATGGATAAAATAAAACAACCAAAAAGTGATAAAATTAGAAAGTAACATCCAGGCCCTTTTAAACATATCTGTTTTAATAATTTCATAAATCCTAACACAGTAGGATCTGATTAGACTTTAGGGGACATTTAAGTTCTGGCACCACCACAGAAAAATGATGCTAGCAGGCCTCTATCTTCTAATCTCTGAGACTACTAATACCACCACCACCCCCTCTTTTTTTTAACCATTTCACTTTTCAGAATCTCACCATCCCTTTTTTTTTTACATGAGCAGTTATTTTGTCACAGAGATTATACTGGTAGATAACTTGAGCTTGAATTTATGTTTGAGACAATTTGAAGAGAATTCCTATAAATGCATTTATAGCAGCTTCATAAAAACAGTGCAAAATCTTGTTAACAAATAATATTTATATTATGAACGTTTCACTCATTCATTGCATTACATACCTCAAGAATTGCCCGTAACATACTGGAGGTGATTCCTTCTCCCTTGAGGCTAAGCAAACAGCTACACAGTGGCTTCATACCACCATGGAGAAGAGCAATTCCTTTTGATTTTTCAGAGGGCTTACATACCAAAATACTCTCACCTGTTACATACAATGTCATAAATTAGAAAAAAAATATATTGGTTTAACAGAATTCCCATGCATAAATAATATTTGACTACCTAGGCTGCAAGCATATTTATCCAGGACCTGGCCACTGTTATTAAGGAGCAGACCTATATTTGATAATTTACATTCTTTGTTCCCTAACTATAGTGTAATTTTTTTACATAAAAAGTACTCTTCTGAAAATGCTGTTCAGTATTTTAATAAAGATACATGAAAACCTACAATAAGCTTACTTGGATTTTGGTGATCTGTCCCCGTCCACACACACACACAAACACAGCCAGCCGAGGGTTAAGGAAGCACTTGGCACACACCCAGGTCTTTATCTCCAACTTGGCAGCGATATACACACCAGAAAGATAATATACTCAGCGTACAAGAGTCCAACAGAAATAATATTCCTCTCAGCAGTTTCGGACGAGGCTTTAGTGACTATCCAAGGTTTATTTTTGTTCGTCACAGGCATCACTGGCACCCTCTATTATATAGTCTCTGGGGTGTGGTCCAGTGACTCAGTTCTAATCCCTAGCACGCCTCCTGAGCTGCTGCAATCGTTTATCACGCCTTCGGAGGCGTGCATCCAGGAATGACGTCTCTCCCTCACTCTCATCTGAGACACCTGTCTCCCGGCTAATCTCCTCTCCCTCGGCCGGCTCCTGAGACAGTGCCAGAGGGGAGGGGCCTGGAGAGGGAGGCCTGGCTGACTCCTCTTCCTCATGCTCGGAGCTTTCTTCCTCTGATGGGACAGGCTCAGAGGGCGGGGCCACAACATTTGGATCAATTTTAGTATATATATAGTTATGGCTCAAAATTAGGGTTGAAACCTGGTCATTATCAAATCAGTAAAACATTTATTATCTTGACTATTTTTCTAATCAAAGCACTGATCTGGCTGCTGTTTCTTAATAGCAAGAATACATGACATTGTCCTCTCAGGCTCAAGGAGGACTTAGCTGAGGGAGGATCACATGAAAGGACTATCAATGGCAACTAATCCTCTCAAAGTTATGGAAAATAACATTGACTTTTTGTTTTTAGGACAGAGATAAGGAGATACTAAACTGCATCTCTCATTTATTTATTCTACCATCATGGTTGATGGTGAGAAATAATGGAAATTGCAGTTCAGCAACAACCAGAAGACCAGATATTGCTCATGCAGATGTATTGTTCTACTTGGCCTAACAAGCACTCTGCCTAATCTTATTTTTAAAATTACACCTCTCCTTTCCTCAGGGATTGTGGTGGAAACACCAGCTGAAGAACAGGGGCCCATCCATATTGATGTTGGTGGTGGAGGATCTTTTCAGCAAGACGGCACATTTCATCTGGATGCCTTCCGTTACAGATGAATGATTTATAGAGCACTTTCAGATCACAGAAGTCAACTTAGTTCCATGATTTGAAAGGCATTATTCCACCTTTTGAAGGTACAAATCAGTTTGTCATCAGCCCACCACCCTGTTACAAACAGGGAGGCTAAGACTAACCAGATGCTGCAACACTATTTAAAGTGTTACTGTACATACAGCCAGGACAATTGAAATGACCCTGTTCCAGGCCTTACACAGGAAGCACCCAAGGGTTTTACCTGCGACCTCACAACAGGTTCTCATCCTGGAGCCATAGATTTTTCTACAGGAGCAATGTGCTGCTCAAGCACTGTTGAAAGAATAGCTAGACCAAGCTAAACAGTCTTACAAAAAGTTTGCAGACTTCCCTTGGCAAGAGGGGCTGACAAATGCAGAGGGAGATAATGTGTGGCTGCCTACCAAATTTTTAGCCTTTTCTTAGCCCTGTTAAGGCCCTATGACAGGTCAATATTGTGGCCTTTCTTTGTAATTGCCACAGTCAATGAAAATGCACCCAGTTTTCAGCATTCTTTGCTGGTGAAGGAAGCACCACCAAACACTTTGAAATCACAACAGCATCTACCTCACCCTCACCCCATGATTGTCGAAGGCAAAAATGAATTCAAAGTGGAAGAAATATTGGAGTCAAGGAGGCAGGAGAAAGGAATACAGAATTTGATTCACTGGAAGGACTACCCAGTTCATGGGAAAATGTAAGGTATGTGCATGCTCCAAAATTAATACAACTGTTTTACCAGGCTTCCCAGACAAAACAAGACCCTCCATGCTCCCAAGACTGAATTCAATCCCAGAATCTAAAGAGGAATCAATTAGTGAATGGGTTAGGCATTCAGAGAGGGACCCTCTATAGGGAGACATCATGAGTGGCAAGGCTCTGCCTTCATCTTCACTCTATGAGGGAAAGGGGGAAGGACCCTTCTAATTGTCTATATATGTTGCAGGAAGAATCACCTACTGGGAGGATTCATACAATCAGGATTCCTCTGACTTGGATAGCTCTTTTGTCACATCATCGCTAGCTATCCCCACTGCCCAGTTCCCATTGCAAGGGAAATAGCTGAGCTGAGCTATTTAGAGAGGGGCTGATGTATGGGGCCCTCAAGGGGGAGTAGAGACATTCCAGCATGAAGTTGATTTGGGGGATGAAACATCTGAGAGCAAACCCTTAAATCTGTCTGCCATTTCCCAAGGAAAGGCAGTCAGTCTATAATATTTTTGTAAATGGTACTCAAGAATAAATGAATTGCTTTGACCTATTCATGAATTTGTTTTAGTTGCTTGTGCTTGACAGGGATTGAAAAATGGAGTACCTGGCCTTTCATATAACCTCCAAGCTAGATTAGACTGACAGAAAGTAACCCAATGAGCTCTATTAGTAAGTGGGACTTAAACTTGGGTCTTTTAGATCCCGAAAGCTAGTGATTCAAGCTTTATGATTTACTTTTTTTCGGTGTTAATAGAAATGTGTTTCCTTACTGTAAAGATTATTCACTTTTTTTGTCTCTAAACCATTATAGAATTGTAAAAATTGTAGAAAAAATCTATCTTTCTATATCTTTCTATCTGGGTCATTGATACATCTTATAGATTGCATCCTAGCAGAATTTATTCTACAATAAATGTTTTGAACTTTAAAGTATCATAAGACTTACTGTTGCTCTATTTACAAACATAAACAGATAAAGGGCTCTAGAGCCTTGATAGTACAGTGGTTTACACACCCTGTTATTAACACAGCTGCCTGCAATTTACTGCTGGTTCGAATCTCTCCAAGGCTCAAGGTTGACTCAGCCTTCCATCCTTTCTAAGGTAGGTGAAATGAGGACCCAGTTTGTGGGGGCAATAAGCTGACTTTGTATAAATATACAAAAGTATGAAGGCTATTGCTTAACGCATTGTAAGCCGCCCTGAGTCTCCGGAGAAGGGCGGCATATAAATCAAAATTAAAATTAAAAAAATTAAATGCATTTACCTATAGTATCTACTCCTTTCCTTCCAGCTCTTCCAGCCATTTGTTTGTATGTCAAGATATCCAACAATCTGCTACCAAATACAGGAGTTCGGATAATTACCCGACGTGCAGGCAGATTTACCCCTGAAGAAAGTGTCGAAGTTGCTATTAAAACTCGTAGGACACCTTGACGGAAAGCTACTTCAATTATGTCTCGTTCATCAAATGTCAAACCTGAAAAATAGTTTAAGATAAATATGCTTTATAAAATTAATATATACCACTTTTCATTTTCATTAAAATTTCAATTATCTCAGGGATATCAAACTCAATTTCATTGAGGGCCACATCGGGGTTGTGTTTGACCTTGGGGAGGCATGGCTGGGGAGGAGTGTGGCCAGTTCAATGTCACTTGTGTTGGGGGCACCTGTGGTGGCTAAGTGCTAAGGCAGACCTTCCCTCAGACCTTCCCGCCCTCTAATTATAATCTCCTTCCTTCCTCCACCACCCCCCAACTCTGTTTTCACTGGCAGAGGCACCGCGGGCCGGTCCTTTACTGTTTCCAGGGCCCATGGTCTAAGCACCCCATGGGTCGGATTTGGCCCACAAGCCTTGAGTTTGACACCCCTACCCTATCTGGAAAACAACTTCTTCCTGCCTTTAATTTCAAACTTACTTGAAAAATGTGTGCTGTTCTTAACATCCCACTCTAACCTCAACTCATTCTGAGGTTTTGCTTTTCTGATACCTTCTGTACTTTCAGAATTACTTCTATGTACTTTCTTTAGTGACATATCGCTCTTTCCTTTTTTTATGTGTTGTTCTTTTCAATTTGTAGATATTCACTTAATGATTTTTCTAACTACATTAGTTTTTGCTATCCTCCATTTTTTTTCCTTTTAGGACATCCTTTTGTGGCTTTATTATCTCTCCTTTTTTTGTAGCCATCTATTTTTTTGTTCCTTACAAACAACTTTGGTTACATGGAATCCTACTTTTAATGCTCTGACTTAATTAAAGTGTATAATCTCAAGGTACATGCCAATATATGCACAACAATTCTTAATATATTGAGAATTCCAATATTACATGCGCCTTTCTGCTTAAAATTCTTACAATTTTCTGAACTGCTTATTGTGTTCATGACAAAACCCATGTGATTCTGCTGAGACATTGGTTTCCTGCCTGGGGAATAGTATTAATAGTATTAATCCGGTCCCGAATGCTTCTCTCGTTACCCAAGTAGCACAGATCCTCAGGGTCTGGGCCATCGGCTGATGTTGTGCAACGCCAGGTCCGTGATAAATAAGGCCCCCCTCATTTACGACCTTATTCAGGAGGGGGGAGCGGACGTGGCGGGTATTACGGAGACCTGGCTTGGGTCTGGAAGGGGGGGTGCCCCTTGTTGAAATGTGCCCACCAGGTTTCCGGGCATTCCATCAACCAAGGGCCCAGGGTAGGGGCGTTGTGTGTGTGTGTGTGTGTGTGTGTGTGTGTGGCAGTTATTATTAAAGAAAGTCTATGTCCGAGGGAGGTCACTGTACCTCAGATAGCCGGATGTGAGTCCCTCCTTGTGAAGTGGGGTCGTGGGGTGCAGATGGGCCTGCTGATTATGTACTTGGCTCCCTGCTGCATGGCAGCAGCCCTGCCTGAGCTGCCTGATGTGATAGCCGGGGTGGCGGTTGATACCCCCAGGCTTATGGTTATGGGGGATTTCAACCTGCCATCCGTCGGTGAAACGTCTATGGTGGCTTGGGAGTTCATGGCTTCCATGATGGCCTTGGACCTAACCCAGTTAGTTCAAGACCCTACTCACATGGATTTGATTTTTGTCTCTGGTCAGTGGCCGAGCGATCTGGAAATAGGGGATTTAGTCATGAAACCCTTCTCATGGTCTGATCACTCTCTCCTTCACATGGACTTCTACACCGCTACCCCTCGCTGCAGGGAGACGGAACCAACTAGATGGTTCCGTCCCAGCCGCCTGATAGACCTTGATAGTTTCCTGACGTAGCTTGGGCCATTCCCTGAGGCTTTGGCTCACGGCGCGACTGAAGAACTGGTGGTCGCCTGGGATAGGGCGGCCGCTGGAGCTCTGGACCATGTCGTGCCTTTGCGGTCTCTGACCCGGTACCGATCTCAATTGGCTCCCTGGTTCTCCGAGGAGCTGAGAGAGATGAAGTGCTGGAAAAGACGTCTGGAGAGCGATTGGAGGGCCAGCCGCTCCGAATCTGACCGAACACTGATGAGGTCTCATATTAAGATCTACCTAGTGGCGATAAAAGCGGCAAAATCTAATTATTTTTCCGCTCCTCTAGGGTCTGCAGAGAACCGCTCAGTAGCCCTGTTTAGGGTGACCTGCTCCCTCCTGCATCTGGGAGCGCGGGAAGACCCCTTGCATGGCAGGGCTGAGGATTTTGTACAATTCTTGCATGACAAAGTCACTCAGATTCGGGAAGGCCTGGACTCTGATTGGGTAGATTCGGATGGGGTGACGGAGGTGGGTCTTGAGAATGTTATCTGGGAGGGGTTTGATCTTGTGACTCCCGAGGACGTGGACAGGATTCTGGGTAGGCTTAGCGCTGCCACGTTTATTGGACCCGTGTCCCTCCTGGTTGGTGCTGGCCTCCCGGGCAGTTACACGAGGCTGGCTCCAGGGGATTATTAATGCTTCTTTGAGTGAGGGTTTCTTCCCTCCCTCTCTGAAAGAGGCGGTGGTGAAGCCCCTCCTCAAGAAGCCTTCCCTGGACCCGGCTGTATTAGCGAACTATCGTCCAGTCTCCAACCTTCGCTTTGTTGCGAAGGTTATTGAGAGTGTGGTGGCGCGACAACTTCCCCAGTACCTGGATGAAGCTGACTATCTAGATCCGTTCCAGTCGGGCTTCAGGCCGGGGTACAGCACAGAAACGGCATTGGTCGCATTGGTTTATGATCTCTGGAGGGCTCGGGACAGGGGTTGTTCCTCTGTCCTGGTCCTATTAGACCTTTCAGCGGCTTTTAATACCATCGACCATGGTATCATGCTGCAACGATTGGAGGGGTTGGGAGTGGGGGGCACCGTGTTGCGGTGGTTCTCCTCCTTCCTCTCCGACCGTACACAGTTTGTGTTGGCAGGGGGACAGAGTTCGATCTTGAGGCGCCTTGTTTGTGGGGTGCCGCAAGGGTCAGTCCTCTCGCCCCTTCTGTTCAACATTTATGTGAAGCCGCTGGGCGAGATCATCCATGGTTTCGGGGTGAAGTTCCACCAGTACACTGACGACACTCAGCTGTATATCTCCACCCGGACCATCCCAATGATGCCCTTGACATGATGTCCCGGTGCCTGGAGGCCGTGCGGATCTGGATGGGGAGGAACAGGCTTAGACTCAACCCTTCCAAGACTGAGTGGCTGTGGTTCCTGGCGTCCCAGTATAGTCAGCTGATTCCATCGCTGACTATTGGGGGCGAGATCTTGGCCCCCTCAGAGAGGGCTCGCAACTTGGGTGTTCTCCTGGATGCACGGCTGTCTTTGGAAGATCATATGACGGCCGTGGCCAGGGGAGCTTTTTATCAGGCTCGCCTGATACGCCAGTTGCGTCCCTTTCTGGACCGGGATGCCCTGCGCACGGTCACTCATGCCCTCGTCATGTCACGTCTAGACTACTGTAATGCTCTCTACATGGAGCTCCCCTTGAAGAGCACTCAGAGGCTCCAACTGGTCCAGAATGCGGCCGCGCAGGTGATTATGTGGGCGACTTGGCGCACCCATGTAACACCTCTCCTGCACGAGATGCACCGGCTCCCGGTGGTCTTCCGGGTGCGATTCAAGGTGTTGATTACCACCTTTAAAGCGCTCCATGGCTTATATGGAGTATAAGCCATGGAGCGCTCCAGGGTATATACGAGACTGCCTTCTGCCACTGACAGCCTCCCACCGGCCAATACGCTCCCACAGAGAGGGGCTCCTCAGGGTGCTGTCGGCCAAACAATGCCGACTGGCGACACCCAGGGGGAGAGCCTTCTCTGTGGGGGCACCAGCCCTCTGGAATGAGCTGCCCCTAGAGGTTCGTATGATCCCCGACCTGTGTACCTTTCGCCACGCCCTGAAGACCCTTTTGTTCCAACAAGCCGGGCTGGCCTAATATGAATTTTATAATGGGTGTATGTTAGTTTTTTAATTTTGTGGGCTAAGTTTTTATATATTCGGTTTTAAATTGTTTTTAAATTTTGTAAATCTATATGTGTTTTAATATGGCTGTACACCGCCCTGAGTCCTTCGGGAGAAGGGCGGTATAGAAGTCCAATAAATCTAATCTAATCTAATCTTGTAAAGACCAGGTGGCATTAAAACAAAAGTCACCAGTGTTTATACTTTTATTAGTTCTTCTGGTTAATTTAATACAGATCCTCTTAATAGTGCTACCAAGTTCATTTCCTTGGATTTCTCTTCAACAGAGAGCCCTGGTAGCGCAGCAGACTAAAGCACTGCTATTAACTTCAGCTGCCTGCAATTACTGCAAATTCAAATCTCACCAGGCTCAAGGTTGACTCAGCCTTCCATCCTTTCTAAGGTAGGTAAAATGAGGACCCAGATTGTGGGGGCAATAAGATGACTTTGTATAAAATATACAAAAGTATGAAGGCTATTGCTTAACGCATTGTAAGTTGTAAGCCGCCCTGAGTCTCCAGAGAAGGGCGGCATATAAATTAAATTTTAAAAAAATGAATTATTTTTAACATGCAAGGCAATTCTTCCTCAATTTCCGTTACTTCTGTGGTATTTGAATAAATGTATTCCTTCAATTGTTCTATTCTACAGTAATCATAAGAAGCTTCTAATTATGTTCATCTTATTTTATTTCCATATTTTATTATTTATTATTAAAATTATATATTATATCTTATTATTTTATTATATAGACCACAATAGCCACAATCTGTAAACTTTTTTTCCTATATTAATTTAGTGGCTTCATAATTTCAGCATAATTACTACCTCATTTCCTTCTATCTGAACAGGAGTTTATCTGAAATTTTTTACACCTAGTTTTATTTCCATCATCACCAATTTAAGGCCTACAGATCAAACTCAATGTGTTTAAGACATATTCTTTTCCATCTTTACTTGGTCACAACCATGCTTGAAATTTCACTCTATCTATGCACATATTGAGAAGTATGATAACAAAAAGTGTACCTGCATGGTGAAAAGCAACTCCCCATTTGATGGTCCGGTGAAGCACACTGTCCAAGCCAGAAGACGACCGCTTTAATTGAATCAACAACTTTTCTATCCCTTCCTGGCACAGTATAACTGGTGAAAGGGTTGACATCTTTTGAAGATCTTTAGAAAGGAAAAGAGCCTTAAAGTCTTATGGATTCTCTCCAAATCCCTTCTCTTCTTCAATCCCTCTTGACTTACTCTTTTGTTGAATACTGCAGAATTCTCTGGCAACGATGTCTGCTAATTTCTCACACCAATTCTTTGTTGGGCAAAATACAAGAACTGAATGGCCATCCTGAACTGTCTCATAACACAGAGTCACCACGTGGTCCTCATCTCCCTAATTGTAGAAAGTGACAAGTACATATTAGGGCTATGGAAATAAAATGAAAGGTTTAAATATAAAATTCTTCAAGACGCAAAAGAAAGAGGATTGCCTGCGTTGTATTTGTAAATTGTATTTCGCAGCCTGATATTTGAGTAGAGGGTGCTGTTGAGAAGTAAAAGAATATTATAATTAGAAGAACACAATCTGAGATTTGGGTGGTTTTGCTTTTAAATGTACAAGAAAGCTAAAGTAAATGTAGACTTTAAAAATCACGCTAGGAATGCCCTTCTAAGAATATGGCATAGATATAAACCCAGGCTGTGTCCAAAAATGTTTTTATAGATTTCAGCACAAGAAGCATTTTATAGAAAAGAAACAGTGAGCAAAGACAAATGGTTAATATATCAAGATTTGCTAGTACAGGACTATGCAGAACTTAAGATGAAGTCAAAGAACAGTTCACTACAGCAGGAGTTAGTTGTCAATGGTTTTCATATATATAAAATTTACCATACATGTGGGACTTGTGAAAAAGTTAGATAGATAGATAGATAGATAGATTATAGATAGATAGATAGATAGATAGATAGATAGATAGATAGATAGAGTTTACCGAGACACCTGGTCTACCCCAACATGTGGGAGGGGGTATTCTGCTCCCTTTTTTTTTTTTTTTTTTAATTTGAT